ACATGCAGCTGTTCTGGATGCTAAGTAAGCCAAAAGGTGCTATAGCTCAAATGATTGAACTATTAATAAATGATGGGCTGGGATTTAGTATGTGGGAAAAAAATATATTTTTTGTATTTTCATGAGTGGTTTTAGGGCTGTACACTGGCCTGTCCTATGCAATTAAAGAGTGTAGGCATTTACAAATGTTTACGTTCTATTTTTGCTCTTTTGTATCTTATTTTCTGTCTTCCAAGTAATGGTACTTATTAAAGGATTGTGTTTTTCATCTCATACTTGTCTGCTCATGTTTAGTGCTTGCACTCCTTTTAAAGGGACCTTTCTCTAAGGTTATTTTGGAACTCAATTTCTATCTAAATCTGTCTTCTCCCTTCACATAACCTTATGCAGTCAAAATCCTTGCAGTCACTAGAGGTCAAAGAGATTAAAGATGTATCATATTTAAGCTTTCACTTCTTTGAAGTGGACTATCCACACACCTGGTTTCTGCAGATTGACTTGTGCAATCCAGAAGATAGGATACAAAAAAATAGAATCTATCAGAATGGTATATACAGTCCACCTTCCCTTAAGCTCTCGGAGCAGAGAAATACAGATGTTACATTATGTCATGCCTCCACGTATGAGGTTTTATCTGACTTCCACCTCCTCTCTTAGAGAATAACATCTGGTTACCTACATCTGACAATTCCTGATGAGGAAACCAGTCACATAGTGCCTGCCTCCTGGTGGTCTGTTTTACTGAAAAGCATAGATATGCAGCGCAAACATCTGTTTTGCTACTGATGATGCAAACAAGCCTTATGCTGTAGAGCAAAGGTAAAATTCACTCTAATTCAATAACCAGTGTATCTATTCAGTCAACTAATGCAGAGGATATTTCTTTGCTAATCTTCCAAAATGGTAATAATTTAAGACACAGAAATTGATCAAAATCCATTTTTATTTTATTATTTTAGGTACAAGAGCATATCACTCACTCTCCTATCTACATAAGGCACAAAGTCCAAATGAATAGGGTGCCCATGGGAAGTTAGGGGTGTATTTCAGATTCCTGAACACTCTTGGGTTGCCTCTGATTTTTAGGGATGAACGAAATCCTGATAAAAATGGATCTTTATGAAACTTTGCCAAGTAATTGAGGTGCCTGTGTCAGATCTCACAGTCATACTTTGAATTAAGTCTGAAGCAGATTGGAAATGGTTAAGATAATTGCCATAATGCTAATCTAACTTAGTTTTAGCATTTTTGTATACTAGCCTGGATGTTTGAAAACAAATGGGAGGAAGGGCAAAGTCAACTTTCTTTGGGTAAAGAAAATGCCTGTGCATTTAAGCTCCTCATTATTTTCCATTGACGAAAGAAACTGCCTTCCTAGAACTCCAGTCTTCGCCTCTTAAATCTACAGGGTACCTGTTGTACTTTACATATTTTAGTAACTTTGTGACCAAATCTCATTAAAGATCGGTCTTTGTTCCATCATTCTATATAACACTGTATTAAACATGTAAATGGAGAATATTTTAGTTTATTTGGTTATCTCTTTCATGCCAGGTTGAAAACTATTGTTTTCCTCCAGAACTATATTGCCCTTATTGTATTCCCTAAGCTAGCTTGAGTGCCACAGCTCTCCCAGCCCAATGTTAAACAAAGAATTGGGTTGGATCTTATATTAGTATGTATTTTAACATTTAATTCCAAACAGGATTTAGAAGTTCCCACTTGAAATATTAATAGAACTGAGATTTTCTGAAAATATTCTAGGATTTCATTCTTTTTTGCAGCATTATTTCTTAACTCATTTCAAGTACTGTAATTATGGAAGCAGACAGTGTTTTGGACAACTTAAAGTATTAAAACAGATCAGACAGAATTGTCAGAGGAAATCGGATAATATAGTAAATGTCTGAAGGAACAATGGAATGGATGCAAATCTAGTCATACTGGGAGCAGATCAATTGAAATTGGTGGGACTTAATCATAGCCAGCTTAAATTCAATTTATTTTAAAAGATGGATTCTATGCATGACTATAAAGCTAGCTTCAACCATTTCACAAACTCCAGATTTTTCTAGCATACTATAAACTTTCTTGAATTGGTGGATGCAAGAATGGAATACTAGCTAACCTGTTTCGTATTATATGTATGATTTACATTTATGTTTAGAATTAGATATCTTGCTATGGTACCTGGCTGCAACAAGTAAAGGACAGCAGGACCACCCACTTCTGCATCTGAAAAAGGTTGGTGGGAGGCCATCACACACACACACCCTTCTTCAGGTTCAGGAAATTCCTGAACCAGATTCTACACTGATGCAAAACTCATGGGTAAGATGCACAAAGTACTGCTGAAATAAGAGTGTGGGTATCTGTGGTGTTTCCTTTCCTTTTCCATCCTCTTATACTTGTAGTTTTATGCATCCTATCTCTTGGATGGTAAGGCTGAAGGGAAGGTTTCCCTGTAAAAAACAAAAAACTGCATACAATGTGCTTGTACAATCATGGTATCTATTGCCCTGAATTCATTCTGTGTCAGTTCTTAGCTAAAATAATGCCATCTGTGCATCAGGAAGAGGTATCAGCATGGTACCGCCTCCTCCTCCTCAGCTTCTAGAGCAGTTAAAATTTGCAAACATGAAAGGCAGTGCAGAGAGTAAGTTGGGAAAGCAGAAAGAAAAATAAATTATTAGATAGTCTCAAGGTTTATCTTCAGTAGTTCCTTAATGCTATATGAATTCTTAACCAACAATTGAAGCCATGTTTTTACTAGAAAGTTTCTTTAGAGAATAGAATCTTATGTATCTGGCATATGAAACTATGCTACAAGCTGGCGTAGGTACAATACTGAAAATGCATAAATAAGAATTGGGATGTGTTTAATTACAGTGTTGACTATTAGGGGTTCCTTGTGTATCAAAATCACACCACCTCTTGTTACTCTCATTTACAGGGTTGGAAACAGATGTATAAATTAGGCTTAGCACATTCTAGCTGGGTAATTATCTAAGCACAGCAGCCTCTAGGATAGAACTAGCTTTTGCTAACAATTGGGTTATTAGGTCTCCCTGACACACATTAATTTACAATACTGAAATCCAGTTCTATCAATGTGGTATAAACTTCTCTTGATTGGCATGTGTAATCTCTGAAGCAGGGCTACTAATACAACCCCTTTTTTTGTCTTTTTTGTATGAGCTGTAAGTAAGGCTGAAATGGTCTTCAGCTCCTCCAATCATATCTGAAAGGGATATTTGAAATCAAATCGAAGACTACTAATTGATTTAAAACCTTTCCATGTCCTTATGAGAAAAATGTGACAGTCAATTCAGACTACCCAGTTTGGCTTTAATTAGTAAAGGGGACCAATTTGAGAACTTGGAGAGAACAAAATACGAATGTAGGAATGTTCTCAAACTATGAGAACCCCTTCCCAAGGTATAATATGAAACTTATTTTCAAAAAGACAAGAATTACACAAACATAAATTTCCCCAGTCATATTCTGTCTGTCTGTCTGACACTACTTCTACCTAATTTATTAGAAGCAAATAATGCTTCTAATGTGGCAAAACCGGTAAGAAACTCCCCACCGGCCTGTTTTGCTACATCCACTTGCTGTAGCATTTTTAATACAGTTACATCTATACATATTTTCCTTCTTGAAGGTTGAACAATGGGGGGAAAAACCCACCAAGTTTCTGAAACAAAGTCAGGATTGCTGAAGAACTTTCAGAATACTAGAGAACTTTCCAGATTTCCTATCAAATCCATCTAAATTCTGCTGTTTATGCATGCATTGTACAAATGCCTGTAATCTACTCTGTCTTTCTAAGCATGGAGAAGTAAATGGAGCTGCCCAGATAATCTAGACATACCCAGATTTCCCAGTGATGACTGGTCGGTTGCAAAGGACATCAACACACACACTTTAAAAAATTAATACAAAGGGAGTAACAAAAGGAATAGCAGAAGAAGAGATTGAGAAAACATGATTTTTATTGGATAGGAACTATAAATGCATAATTAATAATGGTACAGACAGTATATGAAGATACACTTTGAACTAGAAGACATGATTTTGGTGATATAAACATTTAAAGAACTTTTAGGAATTAATTTGTGCTTCATAGTGAACCCTGTGCAAAGGCAATAGAATAAACGCAACCCTGCCTAAAACTGAATTGAGTTGGATCCAAAGTTAGTGATGTTTAGAGAAGAACTTTTGAAATCAATGTCAGTTACATTAGTCATGGGACTAAGCTTGAAGCCAACCTAATATATCAAATACTGCCTTGCATATTCTAAATGAAAGAACATAAACTGTATGCAACTTTGTAATATGTTGCATGTTACCAATTAGACTTACAATGAGAAACAGTCACAAATTTACAATGAGAAGAGAAGATATAAATTCTGCCAGCATGACACAAATTCCTAAAAGAAAACAAACACAGTTCCTTCTAAATTATTCCAACTCCAGATTTCACATATCATGGCTTTAGTAGTCAATAGACAACCCTGTGACTCTTGGGTCATCCTTTGAGAGAGAGTTTGATGTGGTCAGAATGAACATTAAATTTTAGTTTGACCATATTTTTTTTACCCCAATGCTGGGCAGTCCCGTGATCATCTAAGAAGGGTGTATATCATAAACAGAAAAATATTGTAGTGGCAAATGAATTTCAATAATAGGTCAATATTTGCTTACCTAAACAGATAAACAGAATGACCACGGGTAGGCAACAAAGCAGTGGGAGCAGGAGCAACTTCCAACTTCCTGCCGGCTTCCCCATTGATGTTGCTTGTGGGAAGCTGGCAGGGAGTGTCAGAAATCATAATCATGTGACCGCAGAGATGCTGCAGTGACCACAACTTTGTGAATAAAACTGGTGTGAACATCGTGGAAATTTCAATTCCACAGAAGTAATGGGTCCTGGATTTTTTACGCATTCTTTAACTTAGCAGATTTTCAGTACCTTGATTCAAAAATGGTTGCGGTATAATGCACTGTTTGGGCTAACTTGAGGGTACAAACAGATAAACACAATGAGAGTTTTAGTAGTATATAGATAAACTGTCCGATCTCTGCAAACATAAAAGCATATTTGAATAACTTCTATTAAATCTCCTCTAGATAAAATCAAAATAGCGATCTCCTGAAGCTACTTAAATTCTTTTAGCTTAATATTTATATCTGTATATAATCTTTTGGACCACAATCAAGGCTGCAAGTAGAATCTATAGAGACTTGAGTCATAACATGTATCTCTAGTGACACCACCTGATGGTATTTGAGAATGCCCTATTCGATGATGGAAATGATCTTTTCCACAGTTATTTCTTTCAGCTGGGTAGAATTCAGTTTGGCCACTATCTTCTTCAGTCCAGTTTTCCTTGGAGTACACACTATTTTGGATTTAAAGATTTTACCAGGTGCTATGTCCCTAAGAAAGAAAAGATAAAATGTATATTACATATAGAAGCTTTTCGTTTAAGAGATCCTCTGAGGATAAACCTCCCAGTCAAAATCTGTATGCAAGAGGTTCTTCTGTAATGTGAGTGGAATTGTAGCTGAACACCAGTTCTTTGGTATGTATATCTCCTTCTAAACAGTAGCTATGATGTGGCACAAAAGCTCTGTGTGATGCTTCCTTGTATTCCAGAAATGTTCTTTGGTATGCAGACATGAACATTGCACCCATCTGCAACTCTCTAAAACAGTTCATATTCAGTGCTCTATGTCTGTCCTCCTCTCAATTTATGTCATCATAAATGAGAATTTTAAGAAAAAGACATAAAGCAGCCACACAGTCCCAAAGGGAAAAATGTGGCTGCTTTAAAAAGTTGCAAATAGATGCCTCCCTATGCTCCGAAACACCTATTTGTAATTTGTACTGTTGTCTTATGTCTCATAGGGGCCCACACAAAACAACACCCTATTAGTGCTTTATTAGCAACCTGTGAGCATGTTCAGTTGTTGAAGTAGCAACATTAATAACAACAACAACAGTGAGGTTGATGATAGTCATATTTAAGCTACCATGGGACCAGTGTACCACATTTTAAAGCAAAGGAAAATAACACACATTACCATGTACAGAAGGAAGGGGTACTTTTAAGGTCAGTAAGTCTAGAAATCTAACTTTGCTTCAGTGTGCTATTGTCTAACAAAGGAAAACAATTGTGGTTCAGAAGCAATGTAATGGAAGTTTTATATAGGTACAGCTCAAAGATCAACTTCTACCAGACCATATAGGTTATAATTTGTAGCACTGTACAATATCCTCTTTGAGCCACTATGATCTTACCCATGATCAAATACTTCCATCATAAAGATGCCTAGGCCTTCTACATACAGCTTGCAGTTTTCCAGTGGAATGGATAAAGTATTCTTGAAGATAAATGCACAGATAAAATCTTGATTAATCTTTGCGGTTTCCGCCATCTAAAAGGGAACAAAGGATCACAGAAGAACAGATTCAGTTAAAGAAAATGCAGGAGTGTATGAAATCAAGTACAATACAAAGATAGCAAGGAGAATATAATTGTAGTGTTTTTTTTTTTCTTTTTAATCAACTATATGAAGATGTTAAGGTCCACCACTGGGCTGGTAAGGGTGAAGAGGAAGTCCTTGCATCAACAGTTCAGGAGCCTAGACTGACTGGATTTAATAGCGCCCAAAGTTTGCATTGGGGTGCATGTTCAATTGCAGAGGCATATTGTTTGAATCCAGTTCATAAGAATGTAGGAAGCTGTCTTAATTCTACCCTCATGTGTTCTAAATACCAACCACCACCATATCTTATTTCTGAATAGCTGTTACTTTATTTTTTGTCACAGAAGGTAGCAGCCTGTAGTTGACCTCAAAAAAGTAAGCAGGATCAAATCTGGGTTATACTTGGATAGGAAACTATTGAGAAATCCCATGGTTGTAGACTATACCAGGAAGTTAAAAAAATATCCCAGAAGAAGACAGAAAGTAAGCGTTTTCCTATTTGTTGCAAAGAAAACAATATAGATATCTCACTATAGTCATCAGTGATCTTTGAAGAAGATTTTACTTATTTAATTTCTTACCTCAATTTTGAGAGGTGGGTACTCAAAACTTAAAATAAACTCTTTTGTGAATTTTTCCTTAGTTTCTTGAATTTCAGCAATAATAGTGACTTTGATCACAAGTTCATCCTCAATAGACATCATTGTTTTTATGTAAGTATCAGCTGTTATTTTCCAAGGTATTTGAATAACTGCACCAACACAGAAAAGAAACAGCTAGAGAAGAATTTCACAGAATAGAAGACAGACTCATCGTGTCCTTTATTTGGGTGGCTTTGCTGCTTTTTTTAAGGAGATTGCCTTCTGCTTTTGAGGTGGAGATACCAAGAAAGCTGAAAAGAGTAAGGCAAGGAAAGCACAGCTCCTCATACTTCTCTATTTTCTACTTTCACATAGAACATACTACAGACAAAGTGAGAGGGAAAGTGAGAGGGAGGAAAAAGGCTGCAAAAAGGAAGCCCAGTTCTGCATACAACATGTTTCTCACAGAAGGGAGCTCACTGGGGCTGTAAACTTTATTGTTTGTCTCCTTGACTGTTGAAAGGTTTGCATGCACTTTCCCAGTGTATGATTCAAGTTGACAAGAGGCAACAAGGCTACCAGTCCAATTGCCCACAAATTCATTCTCTACAATGACATTCAGATCAACTGGCTGTCCTGGCCACAAGGTTTCTTTTTGTACAAAGAGGGCAGCCACCATTGTAAACAGTAATAAACATCAAAGTAATAAACAAAAGCACTAGTTTTTGGTGCACACATGCACACACACCTGGTTTGCCTTCAGTCTGGACAATCTCCTTGATGGTTGAAAGGTTTGCATGCACTTTCCCAGTGTATGATTCAAGTTGACAAGAGGCAACAAGGCTGCCAGTCCAATTGCCCACAGATTTATTCTCTACAATGACATTCAGGTCAACTGGCTGTCCTGGCCACAAGGTTTCTTTTCTCTCCACCTCAAATTTCAGGTTAGCTTTCAGGAGCTTAGGAGGTAATATACGGTTATAGCTTTTAGATTTTGAAGACTGCAGGTAAGAAGAAGCAATTTCCACAGCTTTCCTTTCCTCAGGAGTACCTCAGAAACAGAAGAAAGAAAACAACCAATCCCAAGAACAGGAAAAGAAAAACGGAGTTTATTTTTATTTCAAATTTAGATACCACCCATCTCACGAAAAAGTGAATCATTGCCACTGTCAGTTGCATGGTCAGAAACAAGGTGCTCATTGTTATTTCTTTAATCAAAGTAATCAGTTTAAGAAATATCAGACAAATCCATATCCAAGCATTGATTAATATTTAGAATTTCAGACTGAGGGCTCTTCCCTGCATGACCAGTTAGCAGTGGAAAGGCTGCTCCTTATCGATCTGCCTTTCTGACCATTATGGCTGCATGATTTCTGAATTTTAAAACACAGGGTTGTTTTATTCATATGTTTATGGTTTAAGCACACACTTCAAAATTTGAAGTGGGTGCCATTAATAAACTAGGTGGAAAAATAGAATTTCCCTCTTGATAAAAAAGTTCAAATGTATCAGTTACCTTCCAGAAATTTGTATTGGGCAGTGATGTCTTCACGGATGTTCTTCCCAACAGCTTTAGTGCTGATGTTCTTTCCTATTGCCTTAGTTTCTTCCCACAGTTTGACATATTCTTTTGTACCTCCTGCATTCTTTACAAGCCAAAACATCTTGTCTGCATTCACTTCAGCAAACACAAACTTAGAGTCATAGGGAAGGTAGATTTCTCCATGTCTGATGGCCTTGACTGGGGTTGGGCCACACTGGTAAATTCCTACAGAGAAGAATGGAGAATAATTACTTTCCTATTGGAAAGCAGGCCCAACTGATGGCATTTCTATGTCTATCCAGAATTTCATGGCAAGCATACAATAGGCAGCATTAATAAACTATAGTTTCCTAAAGTCCTCCACTTCCATTTGCAGGTCTTTGTGACCAGGAATTTTGTTATATTTATGAAAATACTTGGAATAAACAACTTTTGTGATCTTCTGATGCTGATAAGCACTATACCACAGTGTGCACTGTAGAAAAACATCATGTTTCATACATATGATGCTATGTGACATCCCATTTTTTGCATCACATAGATGTACTGTAAGTGGTTTGTCCTTTGGTGATTGCTGTCAGAAACAATGGTGGCACTGTGAAGTATTCCCTTGAATCAAATCAGTTATATGATTTGCTTTACTGGGTTCTAGGATTAATATTCCTGGCCTCATATTTGTCTTTCATCCCCTCTGTTACATTACATTCTTGACATTTGGTTTCAGAGTTGTCCTTCCCCCTCTTTTTGCTCTGAATAATGAAAGAGTAGATAAATAATCCACATTTAGTTTGTATATTCTGGTAGCTATGGTTGCAATTCCCAGCCTGGTAGATGGTTTCAGGAATGTTCTTCCGTCTCTACAGAAATTGCATTGCACAGAAGAACATAAGACCAAGAGAAGATTCCCAAAACGTTGCTGTGCATACTGGATAAACCGAGGCCCACCTAAGCGTTTAACCCATTGCACTCTGTCTTTTTTAACACCAAATGTGCGAAAACCATGATGGGAATGCAGGGATACAAAAGTAGAGGCTGTCCAGATGATGCTGAACTGCAACTCCCAGCGGTCCAAACCAGCATGAACAATGGTGAGATGCCACATGTTCTCCACCCCTGAGATCTAAGGTTACATTTCTGGATAGCATTTTTTTTTTATGGGGATCAAGTCACTTAGATATGTCCTGCTTCATCCACTGTTTCCTGCACGATCCTTCCATAGTTTCTCTTCACTATCCCTGGTTATTTGTAAAACTAGAGTTAATAGCACATTTCATACATATAAATAAAATGTGCACAATTTATCCAGAATATAACATATGCATTTATGTGGCATAAAATATGAGATCAATTGTGAGAGGACAAACTTAATAGATTTTAAATATAACCTAATGTTAAGCTTTCATTTGCTTGTGCATGTATCCAGAGTCCTACCTTGGCTCGGTTCCTGAGGTGTGGCATCAATTGCCTGCCAGCCATCAAAGCCACTGGGCAAGTCCAGCCTTTTCATCCAGACGTCATTCCATATGTGGAAGTTCCTACACCCAGGGAAGTTTTAGAGTTGCAAGCAAACATAGAAAAGTATAGACATTTTGCTTCATTTGTAAAGTAAACTTCAGAGAGTGTTAAATTATGAACTGATGGACACATCAATATGCAATGTAGCTACATGGTTAGGCAACCTGTGCCTCCCAAATGCTGCTGAACTATGATTCCCGGTATTCCTTACCATTAGCCCTACTGATTGACACTCCGCTCTTGCTTAGAACAGCTTTCCCCTCAACTGATATCCTCCAGATGTGTTGGAAGTTACATGGGGTTTATAGCCCATCCTGATGAAAACTGTAACCCAGCACATCTGGACGGCACTAGATTGTAGTGGACTGCAGCTCTGAGCAGAGGTCTTTTCTAGTGTGATACCAAAATTGTTTTGAATTGGAGATACTCTGAATGAAACTTCTGTGTAATGAAGCGTAGGCTTTCCTAAGCAGCTCCGAAAGAAAATGGTGGGCTTCTTTAAAACCTGCAGTGGTAACTGTGTGCCATAGTGCTGAAGAAACTGGAAGAAGCATGAAGAGTTTTCTTCTGCTCAGGCTAGTGGCCTTCATGAAGAGCTTTTTGGGAAATATACAGTAAGTGAGGGTAATAGATTAAAAAAAAAGTAGTAATTTTGGACCTCAGAATTTTAATTGTTATTTCTGTTCAAAACCGAAAGCTGGGTGATCATTGCTAAGGCTGTATATGAAGCAGAAAAGTCTAACTGTGATTCATCCCTCATTCACCTTATATCTGCGTAATACAAAGGCAATATCATATTCTATGTTCTCAGTTTTTCCTTCTCCAGTTATTCTTACTCATAAATGAAAATTTCAATAAAAAATAATTTGTTAAAAATATATAGTGATGGTTACCAAACTGAGTCCGTCGTTAATGATTCTATTTTTCTTCCTTTCTCATCCAAGTAAATGTCCACATTAAGGTTTTCCTCTGTATCGTGAGCTGAAGCAAAATTTGACACGCTTCTGCACGGAATCCCCAGGCAGCGCATAACTGAGACACAGAGAAGGCTGTTAGCTCTCACTTCTTTAGCTGCTAAATGTCTTTAGCAACAACCACCACTTATTACAGCTCAGGATTTCAATTGTGCATGAGGACTGCTTTTTAAGGCATGGGTCATTGTACAAAGGAAGTCCCAGGTGAAGATAAGTGACCTAACTAGAATAGCTTCAGTGTTGGATGGACTTTGATGGTACTTTTAGACTTCATATGTCAGAAGAATCTGTAGATTAGACCAACTAAACTCTGACTCTTAATGAAAGTTAAACCTGGAAAATACTCAACTGCTTTTCAAAATAAGTACATACATTTATATCCAGCACTATGGCTTCTCTCTAGAGTCATTTTTCTTCCTTGAGTTCATTTTCTGCCTCTGATTTAGGTGCCATTAGAAATAACATGATGGTCCCTCTATGCAGAGTGATCAAGCACATGTCTGAATCTTCTCCTGTTCAAAGCTTATTCTCAATCTTATTCTTAAAACTTCTCGAACTTGACTAAGGATGTATGTGGGCCCAACAACAATTTTATAAAACTATTTTAAGAAAATAACAAACGACTCCAGACTCCAGGGGCTTGGAAGATGTGCTTCACTATCTGTTTCATTCTCCTGTTTTTTCTGATATTTGATCCAGGATTTCAGATTTAGCTCTTAAGGGGAAAATAATGCCTGATGCTCAGAAAATTGATTTTTTCCCCCATATTAATCTCACTATTGGTGGTAGGTTTTTGTCCTGTTAAATTCAAAAGCAAATGTTTTCTAGTTTATAGTAGCTTAACAGATAAGCCATGATGATAGGTATTGTGGTTTCAGCAGGTGGCAGCACTTCACTGGCCTTGTCTGGGTTTGCAAGCTAAGCAGGATTAGACCTAGTCACTACTTGGATGGGAAACCATCAGAGAATGGCAAGGCTTGGAAGTTAAAAAAATATTGCAGAAGACAAGGCAAACCACATCTGTACTGTTGCCAAGAAAACTCCATGGATATCTCCCTGAGGTTCCCAGGAATCATGTCCTACTCAAGGGTGCATTTATTTTTTGCAGGTATTATGAACGCTTTCTCTTGTGCAATCATTTACTCTTTTGTTATTTTTGATACATTTAAAAAATCTTACAGTTGAAACCTGTGATTGAAATAATAAAGTTTGGCTGTCTGACTGATTAAGGGTAAGAAGAGGCCTGCTGAATCAGACCAGAGAGTCAGTCTGGTCCATTTTCCTATCTCCAAGAATAGCCAGCCAGATGTTTCTTAGAAACCTACAATCAAATCATGAAGGCAAAATCCTGACCCCTGTTGTCTTTCCTAGGGTCTGGATCCCTAAAGCAGTTCATGGAGGCTTTGTTTATTTTCATACATAAAAATAATTAAACATGAAAATATGCAGGAAAATTTTCCACCTGAAGGATTATGTCTTACCTGTGGTAAGCACTCCAGAGAAAACCCAACATTGACCATACAGGACACTTTTTTGTGTTTTGTAATATTGCTGCAAAATTGTGACACTTCCTGTCCAGGCCAAAGGTGCTGTACCACCAGAATAGTGTCCTGACCAGCTTGCAAACAGAACTCCATGATCATCCTCAGAATTAACCTAGGAAACAGCTGATGAGAACAAATCCTCCCTTCCCTGGTTCTGGTAATAACAACCTGCAATGACTTATGGGCTCTTGGGCAGAAAGAACATTCCATTTTCAATACCAAGAACACAAGGCTGCCTTTATATAAATAAACAGGGGATATGCTGAAATTATGAGCTATACTTTTGAAACTTAAAGGCAAAAACTTAAGCCTGTGTGATGTGACTATACGATTCTAGTGACTGAATGACTCTACATCTAATAAACTTTTAAAGAGTTATTGGATCTATGATTGCATCCTTCCCCCAGTCATACACAATACTGAAAACATATGGTACAGACCTGTGCCCTACCATTTGTCTTCGTGTTGCAGAAAAAGTTCTTATTATAAGAAATATTTCCAGACAATTTCCCCTCCATTTCAAGCCTTTTTGCTCAGTTTAACAAAGTACATTTCAGAACAGTGTCTTACTGGTAGCAGACAATTGGCTACATAATGAACTAGAAAACCATTATGCTGTGGTCATGGTGGGTGTACAGAATGTAGTTTGTGTTGGAGAGTAGATAGAAAGAATGCATGAAAAGAAAAACACTAAAGTTAGGAGTATAACTTTTGTAAGAAACTATTCTTCAGGCTGATGCTTGTGTGAAAGAAAATAAATATAAGCTTTATTTAGGGAATAGCATGGTGATAGGAAATCCAGAGTTACTTAAGTCTGTTCACAGCTAAGAGCCTATCATGTGCGCTTCTCCATTATGGAGAGAGAACAAGGGCAGATCTGAACTTACAGTTTCCTCCAGCACAACATAAGCTACTTATCATTTCTGGAGGGAAGGAATACATGATGTCATCTTCAATCCACCTCCAGCCAGCAGCTAATATAAACTCCACCCGTGCTTTCTGGCTGTGTGTCAAAAGGAGTGTTTTCTGCCTTGTGGAGACCCAAGCTGGACTGTCTGGTTTGCATGTTGCACTTACTTCCTTGTAAGCCACCCTCTGTAGTCCTATTGACTACTACAGTGAATGCTTCCCCAGTTCTGGTCACTAATTGGTGTCCTCCATTGCCATGTTTTTAACAAGATCACTAATGGAAGATGAAAAACTGGTCTTTTTTTATTTTTCCAACGCAATGATGGACCTGTTTCCCCTTTCACCTCCTCCTATTTTAACCAGGTGAGATTGACAAGAATTCTGCCACTTTCTCTTCAAGCTCAAGTAATAGGAAAAATGGTAAAACTGTAGTGTTTTCCTTTTTTTTTTCTTACTAGCCAAGAAGAAGTAGAAAAGCAGGGGAATTCAAGAAACAGGGGCTGGGGTCAACAACATCCAGATTGAACATTAAGCCATCATGGTGGCCAAAGCAAAGGAAATCTAGAAAGGATTTGTTAGGGTGGCTTCATTTTCAGCCAGTTTACACGCTGCAGAAGGCTGCAGTGTGGACAAGACCCAAGTCAGGTGAGAACTGAAATAGCATAGGTTGGAAACAAAAGAGAAAGTGAGCTGACCTGTGAGAGGAAGGAAGTGATAATAGTCTTAGAATAACCAAAGTAGGCATGTGACATAGAGGCATGCACGGTAAGTATTTTAGATAAGGAAAATGGGTAAAAATGCAAAAGCCTATCTATTTCTATATCCATCATTTCTGATGGTCAATAGGTGTATGTGTGTGCAGAAAGCCAGTGCATGCAAAATTAAAGTCCAACAGTCTAAAGTGATATACTGTATCAAGAGTGGGACATATTTTATGCACATGGCCAGAACATGCATTATTTTAAAGGGTTTTTTCCCCATGGATCTTTGAGAACTGTTGTGTTCCACTACTGGTTTTGTTTTTCCCACTTCAAAATAACAGGAAAGCATGTCACCAATTTTTGGCAATAGTGATAGGAGAGGACGCCAGGGACCATAAAAGTGGTATTTGGGGGCTGCATGCAGGTGTTTTAGACTTCAACTCTCAGCCCCAGCTAACGTGACCCCAGGCAAATGAATCCAAGAGTTGTAGGCTAAAATATCTGGTGGGCACGAGGTTGCACACTCCTGGGCTAAGGTTCAGACTGATGAGAGGATTAGTTTTACTGATTTCTATTTCTTGATTTACAAGATACAAACTGGTGTCAAAGCATTTTTAATGACATACCAAAGCTGACATAGCCCTGGAGATGATCACTGGATCTTTTTTAGCACTTGGCTTGAGCTGGCTCTTGTCCAGAAGGTACATGCAGCAATCCAAAACGTCTTCCTCAAACTGTTTCACAGTACAAAGCAAAGTGTGATTATTTGATGTTACTCAGTGTTGGAAAAATAATTTCTTAACGCAACCCAGAACAGCGTCATAAAAGTTTCAGATGTGAAGTATGCTCTGTTGACTTCCAGTAAAAAGTGGCTCAATAAAATTGTTGTTATTGTTCCACAATGAATAATGTTTAATTATATCACACCTTAGAGTTTTCTAAGTTAAATACTATAGAAATCATTTTATGCAGACATCTTCATGGTATGTTGAAAAGACTCTTTCTTAATGCATAAAACATATAATGTTACAGAGATAAAATCTGCTGTAAATCATACTTGACACCTAGTGACATCATGGACACATCCATTTGTAATTTTCTTAGCACTGAAACAATTGTGGTCGGACCAAATAGCTTTTGTGGGAAATAAGTATGGCAGCAGAGAAATGAAATGGCATTTAAGAAATGTTTCAAGAGATTCAGAAAGAAAAATAGCTGTTCTTTTCCATTTCCTATTGCCTTCTCCACTCCAATCTATATTCCTGACCAGAATTCCAATGTTTCTTGGATATTGTTTTTCCAGTCACTTAGGTAGAAGGATTTTATGGCCTGAACTTTCTTCCTCAAGTGACTGAAAAAGTGATGAAATGGAGAAACACACACACACACACACACACACACACAAACAGGGTATCAGCGTCTCAAGGTAGGGGCCAGGTCAGGAAACAGATACTGCAAGGATTACAGGAATACTACTTTATTGTGTATGTATAATAAAAGAATCTGGAAAGCCTGCTAGAGTTTCCCTCTGCCCTCTCTTATACCAAACAGAATCAAGGCAGGATTATTCTGAGTTTCTTTCTCACGCTTTCCCCTTTCCCAAGATTGACTTGTTATTTTTTCTTCTTCCTTAACAGCTTTTGCATTCCTGCAAGTTTATCTTTACATTCTTCTACACAGGGAAACAAAGATAGTTCAGGGAATTAAAAATAGCAATTAAAAAAAACCCCACACAAACAGAAACATTTTTGCTGGGTTTTGAACCAGCAACCTGCTACTTACAAGGCAAGCGTTACAACAGTTGTGCTATTATAGCACTATTAATAAGAAGATATCAAGACCATGGTAACCATTGATTTAGTTGAAGGGCTATTCCTGACTTTGCAAAGTAGCCAATGAATTGCTGGGATCAGCCTATAAAGAAAGAAAGTGGTCCAGCCAAAGCAGACAGGACCACTTGTGGCAGCATAAGGGGAGAGAAAGTTCTTTAAAACTGCAAGAGAAAAGTGCCTTAGAGGTCACATTTGTGATAGGAAGATAACGAGTTCAAAATAACATTGTTCCTACCCTCCAAGAATGGTTGCTGGCCCATTCTGGCAGTGAGACAGCTGGACAGTTCAGATAAGCCTTTAGTCAGTGTGGTTACTATATCACATGAACCCAGACAATTGAGCTGAGTACACCAGAATTTAATAAACCATAGGTAAGCCTGGTTATCTAGTTTTGATGAAAAAAAATGTGGCTTGAAATGATGCAAAGTGTTCATTTGATTATCTTTCCACTTTTGTTTCTGGCACATTATTTTACATTCACCTTTCTCTGGATGCATGGTTGTGTTATGTTACAGAAAAGGACGGCACTTGCTCAATGGTAGAACACATCAGTTGCTTATGGAAGGTCTCAGTTTCAGTCTCCATTCTCTCCAGAAAGGGATGGAAATACTCCTGTCTATAATTATGGACAGCTGGTCAGTACCAGAGTAGACAATACTGGACTAGCTGAATCTGACTCACTTAAAGGAACCTTCTTATGCTGTTCACTTGAGAGAAAGACATTCTCTCTTACCTGCCCAAAATTCCATGGTCTTCCATAAATATTTTCTGCCGATCCAACATAAATATAGCCAGTATCACTAAGAATGTACTCGGCTCTTCCACCATCGTCCGGCATGAAAACAGAATCCGCTAAAGCAAACATATAAGCACATTACATTTAGGAGGCCAAGACTTGACGCAATGAAAATGCCCAAAAGCACCATCAACATTGGGAGGGAGGAGGGGGAGGGTCAATTTACTTTCCTCACGGTTTTGAAGCCATATCGGGTAATGCCCTGAGTGTCTGGCTGGGGAATAGCACACCTGGGGTTGGACATCAGAAATGGTGGCTGTTGGTCTCCAAAATAATCTGGTGGATATTCAGATAAGCAAACTGATAGATTTCAGTTCAGAGCCTTTCTGATTATTAATATGTGCTAGGCTTTCTCCTTCCAGCTACAGTTACCCAGGAATTATCTCCCATTTCAAAAAGATATGTGGATTCAGTATTCAATTAAGGTTTTTCTTGACTAAATCTCTACTTGTTTGTTGGGTAAAATTTGTCTCTCTGGGGTTCATTGTATCCATATCTTACAAGAACATAAGAACAAGCCTGCTGAACCAGACTAAGGCCCATCTAAAGTCAGCATTTTGTTTCTCACAGTGGCTACCCACTGTGGCCCTCCAGGACTTGCAGCTCCTGCTTGAACAGCAGGTAGAGGTTGTGGCCAGGAGGGCCTCAGCCCAGCTTTGGCTGCTGCACCAGCTACAGCTCTACCTGGGGCAGGAGAACCTTACTGCAGTGGCTCATGTCGTTATCGCTACCTGTTTGTTATTGCTACTGTAGTGCACTTTATTTAGACTTCCTTTAACAACCACTTGGGAACTGCAAATAGTCCAGAATGTGCTTTAGGGTATTCAGGGGACGAGGGTGAGGGTGAGGGCAGCAGGCCCTGCTTCTTGATTGCACTGTCCATCCTTTGGAATGGCCACCTGGTTAAAACTAAATTGGTTCAATCCTTATCTGCCTTCTGCAAAGTGCTTATAGCAGAGCTCTTTAGTAGAGCATTATAAGACTAACATTTATTGTTATTTTATGTTGTTTTTCCACTGTTTTAGTTTTAAATTTAAAATTTTTACTGTGGATGTTTTAATTGTATACTGCAGTGTTTCTCAATCTTGGCAACTTTAAGATGTCTGGACTTTAACTCCCAGAAATCCCCAGCCAACATGCTGGCTGGGGAATTCTGGGAATTGAAGTCCAGACATCTTAAAGTTGCTAAGGTTGAGAAACGCTGGTATACTGTACAGTATGTCTATATCTGTGAACCACTGGGAATCCTTAACTGAATTACAGCTGGATATAATAAATAAATATAATACATAAATATAATAAATAAATAAATAAATAAATAAATAAATAACAGTAGTAGATTTTAAGCCACTCTAGTTTGTCTTAATTACCTTGACACCAAGCATTGAACAAAACATAGATAAAATTCTTAGGAGGACTATAAATATCAGATCCTGTGTCCACCTTCAGAAGATATTTTCCAATGATTGCATCAGCTGGGCTGGTTATAGCTATTACGCACTAAGAGAAGAACAAGATGGTTATAACATGACAACATTGTGCATGGTAAGTATCCAAATGCTGCAGGAAGATGTCCATTGAGAAGAGTGCACTTGTGCGCACATAGCTAGGTATGAATAGGAGTTGGTGGGGAAGCATGGGTGTTGATTAGACACTGTACGGGTGACCTCATTTTTTTTCTCTTGTTCCTCTCATTTTTTTTTCTCTCTTGCTCTTGTAAAAAAAAAAAGCTGTAAAAAAATCTTGTAAAATCTTGTAAAAAAAATCTTGTAAAAAAAAATCTTGTAAAAACAATTTCTTTCTTTTTTTTTTCTCTTGCTCTTGTAATGGTATGTGGGAATGACCTTGGGAGACAGGATCAAGACCCACAGCCTAGGCAATGGTCTGATAGGAGGCAGCTCAGTCCGCAGATGGGGGAAAGGCATGGGAAGCATTTCAGCAGGTTAAGAAGACCTTAGGACAGGTCCCTTTTGAAATGCTTCCTATGCTTTTCCCCTTCGTCCTGTCTCCCAAGATCATTCCCACTTACCATTATACTTCTGCAAGGTTGAATGAGAATGAATGTGGTCCTCCGGTGATAAAAGATTCCTGCTGTAGTAGTTACATAAAATAGATGCAAACACATTTGCCCTTCTCTGAGAAGAGATACATTAGAACTGTGCAGCTATTTAGATTCAGTCTTCAACAAGTGTTTTGGATCATCCAGGAGTTTGAATATAGCACCTATCCACAACCCTTGGAAGCTGCCACATGATCCTTGGAAAATATGCACCTCTTTTGAGGCATAGCAGACAGGTGCTACATTTATGCTCCCATGGTTCCAAAGCATCTGTTCAAGATTAATGCTGAAATGTTACTTGGCCCTAATATACAATCTTCCTTCTGGGCACCTTGCACAGGAAAAGCAAAAAGAGGTACATGAAAGTTGGAAGACCAAATGGGGGCAGACTGGGGGGCAGGGGAATGGCACATGAACTAAAAAGTGATGCAGGAAAGATCTGGATTCAGAATACTACATGTACTACTAGAGATTGTCTATGCATTATTCCTCAAGCAGGTAACTAGAACAGTGGGAGGGAGGAAGCAGGAATCTTTGCACACCAAATGAGAGAAGCAAGATGGCACTTCACTGTTTCATGCAAATTTCTGCATCAGTGCCTCTGATGCTAAACTCTTCATGTATGAAAATGCAATCTCCCCTTGTTTGAAGATTCCTTGCATTTTTAAAATGAAAGGTTGTTATAAATTGATCAATCCCCAGTCATATGGTGACACTTATCATAAGGAGCGAGTTCATCAAGGATCAATATCCTAAAGAAACAGCTCTGGAGAGTCAAGTTCATTTCCAAGAGATTAAACAATAGTCAAAACTTGACACATTACATTTGTTACCCAGCTATTCAGTGCAGAAAGTTCTGTAGTTCTGAGCACTGATGATGTTACCTAGTTGGGTAATGAAACGTCCGCAAGCAAACAATTAAGCAAAGAGAGCACCAAGGATTCCATAGCTCAACCCTGAGCTACATATATTCTCTTCTATTAGAAAGTTCTCTATCTAAATTGTTTATATTCAGTATCAAAAACAATTGTGTCCTATCATTCTTTTAATCATTCCCCCTTTTCTCACCATAACAGCTATACTGTAGTATTTCTTTTATACGATTCTACTCAATGCATTTGATGAAGTGCATTTTGAAACACAAAAGCTTTTCTGATAACAATATTTAAGGGGTCACAAGACTTTCTGGTTTTTTGCTTGCTGCATAAAACTAACAATGACTTTACCAGTTGAGATTGCTGAAGTTGTAAATATAACATGCCAAACTAGCCTGCTGCACCTGGTGTCTTGTGGATGTGCTGAGTTTACAATTCATAGGTTTTTCTCAATACAATCTAACATCCTCTGGAAATTGTGGCCTAAGAAGAAGAAGTTGGAAAAGACAGCTCTAACTGGACATTTCAATGAAGAATATCCCAAAACTTTATACCTCCTTCCCATTTGTTTGAGAGATGTTGGCATGCCATGGTTGAGCATCCTGTTGTGCCCTTGCATTCAGGGTTATGAAGGTCCCATTTGATGGCATTGGTGCTTCGCCTAGAAAAACACAAATTCATTGAGAGTAACATTAACAAATGTATATGGTAGGGCAACAACCTTTGTGTTCTATCTCCAACTTTGGCAGATTCTACTACCACTGGAATAAAATTGCATCAATGGTACCATCAGAGCAGGTCTGTGAGACAGATGTCTAGGGTCCCAGCCAAGAGAATGAAATGGGAAGATTTCTAAACACGGCAAGGCTGGCTTAGCACATTTGAAAGTAAATGAATGCACATCACCAACTAAACAGAACAGTAGGATAAAACATCCAAGGGACTAAAATAATTAGAACTACATGCATACTCTGAACAGCCTGATAATTACCACATAACCTAAGTGGTTATATTTAGTTTCTTTAGTGCAGAGAGATAAGTAACTGTGCTAGATTGGCTGTGTAAGCTCCAATATAATTTAGGCATCTGCAGTTTGATGCAGTCCTGTGTAAATTGTCCTTTAACAAAATATCATTTTTGGAGCCACTATGGTATGAAAGAAAAAATCAGCCTTATGCTGAAAGAACAGGATGGCTTGAGAAAACATGATATTATTTAATAGCTTAAACCCAAGGAACTCAATCACTGCTTGGATGGGGAAAGTATTTGGGAGACCCATGGATTAGCTGAAAGAAGATGGGATATTAACATAAAATGCAAGATAGAGTCTCCATTGCTATAGTTCCGCTTCTTTAATCCCTCTTTCCCTTCCTTTTTCTTATCATAGGGGCAGGAAGTCACTTATGCCCCTGAGAAGTTGCTGAGTTGCAGCTCCCAGGAGCCCTGTCTAAACATGGCACATGAAGCTCTCTAGGAGCTGGAGTTCAGCAATCTCTTCAGACCCCCTACCCTGCTCTTTTCTGTTCAGTTGGTGACTTGTGGCATCCAGGCCACAGCGACTGCTTGGGTTGTAGATGGAACTGCCTTTGTGGATCAGGGCAGCTGGCTGGAAAGGCAATGTCAACACTGGTACATGGAAGGTGGTAGAGAGTCTGCAGACATGGTGTCCCGAGCTAGATACAATGGAGTTAGTTTTTGTGGGTGTTGGGGTGTGCACAAATGGAATATCAACTTTGGGGAAGCTCTACCACAAGGTGGATACTTTCCTGAAAAATAAAACCAAAGTAAGTCATTTGGCTGCTAGGTAAGCTCAGCTCTGTCCATCAGCCAAAGCAGAAGTGTCTATGGCAATGTTTCTCAACCTTAGCAACTTTAAAATATGTGGACTTCAACTCCCAGAATTCCCCAGCCAATATGGCTGGCTCAAGAATTCTGGGAGTTGAAGTCCACATATCTTAAAGTTGCTACGATTGAGAAACACTGGTCTATGGAGACCCTGAGCCCCGCAAGTAGATGGGAAGGGATAGTCCCACAGCAGGCCAGTTGGAGTCCTGCCAACCCCCAGCTTCCCGTAGGCTCATCCTCCAAGTGACACAGACTCTTCGTATAGACAGTTGTTCCATTTTTCAATAGCAAACACTACTTTCATGCTAGATTCTGACTTCAGCCTGCCTTAGCAGCAGGCCAACCCCAAGATGAAAACTCAGTTGTGAATGCATGTTCTAAAAAAACCGTAAGTAGCCATTTTAGCACCAGAGCAAGGAGTGTGTGTGGATTAAATCATTTAGCCAGTCTGACGAGTAAACCTTCCATACACCCTTTTCAGTTTATTATTGCAGATTATATGCTTACATCAACACATTGGTTTCTTGACATCTTTCGATGGGAGAAGTAGTGATATGTGCACTTACCAACGCTCAGCTGCAGACTGACTTTGTCATTGTCCTGTAGCTCCCTGTTAAGTGTCACTTTTAGCTGAAATTCCTGCCCACGTCTCACAATTAGGCTACAGTGGGAATAGTCACTGGTATGATGAAGGCGGGTGTTGTCATCCCTGAGAAAATCAACATTGACGGCCTTCAAAGGATCTCCTGCAAATAATAAAGAAATCCTTCTTTCGTTTTTCAACTGACTTTATTTCCCTCCTTGCAACAAAACAAAGCACAAACACGCCCTGACAAAATATATTTTCTGCTATGCTCCTCTGATTTTGTTTTCATTTGTTCCTTGAATGAAACAGGCATTAATAATCCTTAGCTACACTGTAATGTATTAGTACTATAAGTAAGTAATATTTTCTTATTCCATGCTTTGATTCACATTTTATTCATATTAACTGAATGAGCATATGATTGTTCCCTGTATGCTTAATAATTTTCCTCCCCTGACATATTGCAATTACACTAGCAAGTTGTAGAGGGGCTCTGAGAATCACAACCAAAGCTTTGGGTGGCCTCTAGTTCTGTGCCCACTCCCCAGGAATTGGTACTGGAATTTTTTCCTTCTCAGTTGCTTTCTTTTTGCAAAGTGCAGCATTTTCCCATCAATACTTTTGAGAAATGTGAAGAATTCATAAAAGCAGATGAGATCTTACAACATGGATGTGTTCTGGGTGAAAGTTCCCACTCTCAACGAGTTAAATGGAATTCAAGGAGGTCCATTCCATCCTTTAGAGAATCACTCTTCTCCTAAAAGGCAGGGGTTATAGCAGAAATTCTTCTGGATCTAACTTCATCACTAGAAACCCATGTTGCCTCATGATAATAATCTGGCTATGGCAACTTCTGACTGAGATAAGCTTAGTTCTTCCAGTTGAATTATCACTCCCTTTTCCAAGTTGGGATCCTCTACTGATATCCAACAATATAGCCAATGAGAGTAAAAAGCAAATTTTCAGTAGAAACAAAATCAAGAAAAGATATTTTTCCTAGTCAAGTGCATATCTTTTTGGTAACACTAAAGAAATGAATGGGAGGGTCAAATCTATCTCAATAAATAAACATTCTTTTACTCTTCTCTATCATTTTAAGCTATATCTGCAAGGATTTTTGGCCCCAGAGTAATTTTCCCAGGTTATTTTTCTCCTGACAGAGCTTTCCTTTAGATATTTATGTAGAATTATTTTTCCTAGCATGTAGGATTATATGAATCCCCAACCTCCTATTGCAAGTATGTTACATAAATTAGACAACCACCAGTTCCTGAGCATGTAAGGACAGAGCATATCAAGAGACAAGGCTGGTGGGACCATGGGCTAAGAGATGGTTTCCCACAGTGTGTGGGGGTCATCCCTCCCCTCATTCAGCTCTCCTGGCAATGGCGGGGGAGGCAGTGCCCTACTTCATGCTTAGTCCCTGGAACTTCTGGGCTGGCATCACCAGATTCCTTTAATCGTGCTGCACTGCTGCTCCTTTGCACATCTAAGTGCACTGCCTTCCTTATCCAGCCAAAAGTTGAGCAGAAAGCCATCTTATTCTTTGCAGGGAGCCAAAGTGGACAGTGCTCTTTTCCCATTGCATGGAATAAAAAATGCCGGATTCCTGCTCTCCTACGCTTAGAAAGAAAATTAACAACTTAACTGTCTTGATAACACCCATGCCCTATTGCTACAGTTCCCTCAAGCATTACAGATATTGAGATCTGCATGTCAGAATGGTGATTGCCAGCATTATTATTTTTTTCTTTCAGTTGCAGAAGGAAACTATCAACATAGCTCTGAAAGTGTAACATTTACTATAGTCTTAAAATATGTCTGTTGCCATGACATCGCTTAGGGTTAGGCCTACCTCACTATGTACTGCAGTCTTGACAACAGCTCCTTGCTTTGTATTAAAAAAAGAAACTGTCACCGTAGAGCTCATATTTATTGTATTGTATAACTAGGTGGCTATGCTGCCTTTCAGAATGGGAAGGAAGAATGTAATTCTCCAGAGGTCATTGAACTACAGCTCCCAGAAACTCCGAGAAAATGTTGTGCTTAAATTGAGCACAAGTTAAAATGCTGAATTTCTTTCTCAAGGAAGTGAAAGGGAATGACTAAACTATTGTTTTGCATTAAATAAACAAAGACAAGAATCAGAAGTGTGTTATTAAGTGGGCGTGATAATATATGACAAGGGGAATTTCTTCTAATTAGTCATGTATTCCTTGCACTTCAAACCCTGTATATGTTGTCAGAGCTAATGCATCTTACATCAATTGTATCAGTTCACATGCTCCTTAGAGATTATATGTGCTACTCTGGCAGAAATTCTATTGCTAATCATCTGGGAGCACAACCTATTAATCTCCATGGGACTTATCAGGGGTAGAAGTGCAGCTCTCTGAGCCCCAAGGTAAACCTCTCAGATGAGGACCTTGATGCTGTGGCGATTGAGGGCAGGCAGGAGAAAGGGAAGAGGAGAGTCACATGACCACTTTCCTCCACCACCACCTCAGCAGGCTTGAGCCCATGAGGGTCTCCCTCTACATCCTTCTCAGTCACCCAAAGCACTTCATCCCCCCTTCTTCTTGGCCACTAAACTTCTGCCATTTTCTTAGCAACAACCAATTCGAGAGTGGCAGCAGAAGAGGAGGTCAAGGCAGCAGCAGCAACATTGGTGGCGCTTCCAGACAGTTATGTTCAAGCAAAAAAGGTCACCAGCATAAATTGGGTGCCCCCATTGCTGATCCCTAATCTGCAATAGTAATGAGGCTGGCAAAGGGCATCCGATGCATGCCAAGTCAAGGAAATGGATCGGTGGATTCCCAGCCTTAATTTTTCCTCTTTTTTTGTCAGGGATGGGAGAACAACCCTCAATCACTCTTGCTAAGGAGGGGTGGGATGGGGTTGGGTGAATGGAGGTGAGTGCTTAGAGTAGGGGTAGAACCACATGCCAAGTTGCAGCCACAAAGCAGGTGGCAGGCCCAGAGGAGGGCACAGGGAGCAGTGCAAGAAAGGCTAGAGCTCCCACTGAGTCCTGTGCTTGGGTTATGATGTTTGGGCTGCAAAAGTCTGGACAACCACTAGACATGGCAGTAAAGAGAGGCAGAAAAATTATTCCATTGTTTTCTGCATTAATATCCCATTTTTGTTTTTGTTTTAGAAAATACAACTGTAATGTCATTAAAGGCAGAAAGCTGGTACTGAGGCTTTTAAAAGTAACTGTGCTTTTTATTAAACATTTCTTCTTAATTGTTGTCTTTGGTGGCTAGAAAATCAATGAAATTTGCTTGAATTAGTCAATTTTTGGCATGTGCACGTATTATGAAATATAAAAAGTAAAAAGATGATGCAGAGAACAGTAATTAAAGGATTTATTTAAGAAAAAGGAATATACACTAAGTTCAGGAACATTAACCATTAGCAGGACAAAGAGTAGGAAACCTGGAAACAGGACATTTTAATTAACATTGGAAAAGACCTTTGCAGGCAGGCAGGCAGGCAGGCAGGCAGGAAGGAAGGAAGATTTAGGCCAATAGGTAGCAACTGATTATAGCAATATCCACGGTTAAGCCTCAGTTTTAAGCTATGCATCAGCATCATTAAAGGGTTTGTCAATCAGCCACCGACCCTAAAATAGAATCAGTCACAAGCCTGGAAATTAAAATGTGTTTGTATCAGATTTTTAACCACATGATTGATATATCTATACTGTATATATCTATATCATCCATATTTTGATTGTATATCTCTTCTTATGTCTGAATCATCTGTGAATAGAATTGCTCCATTTTAATTTTGTTCATATCATGTTTCTTCTGTAGAGGAATTCCCCCATGTCCTCTGCTTTTACTCTCACCTTCCTCTATGGAACTGAAAAAAAAAATTGTCATTTCACCAAACCAAAGGAAATTTCTTTCTTTCCATCTCTGCTGTTTTGAGAAAAACACTGTACTGTACTTTATTTATTTTATTTATTTGTAAGCCTTCTATCCTGTAACAATCAAATGATTTGGGCAGCTTACAGGCTATACAATAAAAAATGAAGACATCTACAGTGAAGTTAAAACCAATGAAAACCATCATAACAATAACCACATTAGCCCCTACATAAAACACATGCGCGCGTGCGCGCACACCCCCCCCCACAAAGAATAAACAACAAAGAAAAGGCAAGATGGCATCAGGTATACAGTTAAGGAAAAGCTCTCCAAAACAACTCCATTTTAAAAAAAATTCAGAGAACAGACAAGGCCAGCCTGGTCTCCATTAGGAGGCTGTTCAACTAAAAATAAAGCTGGCTTAAGAATCTGCGTCCAGATTTCAACCTCTTCCTCCACTTTGGCCACAGTGATGGTGTCAAGTCCACGATGTCCAACTCTCAGTTCTGAAGCATTCTCACGCAACCAGACTTGGGTCAGATAAATACTTCTTTATTAAGA